TCTGCAATCTTGTTCCTAACATATTGTCTCATCTACAAACATTAGTTTTTGTCTGTTTAACATTAGAAATATCATAAAATATTTACAATTTGTCTCTCAAAGAGAACTATTATATTTATTTATTGTCTCTCAAAGAGAACTATTATATTTATTTATTATTTATAGACAGATGGAATTCCATAGATCTTTTTGAGCATCTAGAGTTAAAGGAGCACAGTATTACAAATAACTGAAATATATCAGAAAAAATAATATGCATATGCATACAGATACACACACACTACACAGACATAGAGATAGATTCCAAGTTCTTCATCTGCTGATTCAGCCAACAGCAGATAAAACACTCCTTTTAAAAAAATTGCATTTTTACTGAATATTTACAGTTTTTCATTGTTATTATCCCTTTAACAATAGTTTACCAATTATTTTMTATAGCATACATAACTTAAGACTGATTAAAAGTATATTGGAGGTTATACCTAAGATATATATAAATACTTTGCCATTTTACATATAAGACTAGAACATCTGCAGATTTGGGTGTCCAGGGAACCTACCTGGAACCAATCACCTGTTAATACGAAATGACAACAATGTGTGGGTATGTATACGTAAATATATAATGTAGATATATATGTGTGTATATATCCATATTCTTTGTAGATATATTCTTCACATATATGTTTGAAGAGAATAATATTGAAAATAGATCAAAATATTAATGGGTAGTAATATGSGTAAAAATTGTATGTGAGTTCTTTATACTGATCTGAAATTATATCTGAATAAAGCTTAAATTTCAGAAACCCCATGAAAATATATTTGATTTTAACAACAAAAGAATTCATCATAAATTGTCATACCTTTACAAATTTAAATGTAAAAAAATGAAAAAAATGTGTAATGCCTTGTCTTTTGAGCAAAAGACATACATTTTCCTAGACAGCTGATATGCATATAAGTTGCTAATATTTCATGGATGTAGTTGGTCACATAGGTCTTATTTATAATAGTAAAAAAAAAAAAACTTTTGAACAATTCTGGTTTAAGTGATTATTCCATGAAAAATAAGAAGTGTTCAAAATATTTAATCATATTCATTTTCATATTATTTTTTTCCAGGAAAATTCAATCTACCTTTCCAATGAAAATACACTAGGTAATTTGTTATGCTACATCCATTAAAAGTGTTAATATAGATAATATGACAAAGTTGAAAAAAAATGATAGCRTTATTTTGAAGTAACTTAAAATTGGTTATATGAATATAGCACAAAAAAAATATATGTGACACATSCCCAAATTACGGAAAATTGCTTAATTATACATGAGCAAAATAAAGGAAAAAGATAAAGAATAAATTTTGTAGGACAATTTCCTCAAGATATAGGGTCAAGGATTTGCCCCTTTCTGGTATAGAACTTCTCCAAACAATCTCAAAAAAATTTCATGTAAATTACAAGCATCCTTGTATAAAAAGCATCACAACTTCCTGTTACTCACTCTCCCTTAATTCAAAAAGGACAACTTGCTTTACTGATGCCCTGCCCACAGGCATTTCCATATTAGTTGTTATCTTATTCTCAAAGTGTTTTATTATTTGCGTAATTGGGCCCACTTTGAATGTCTGCTGAGAAATCCATCTTCAAACACCTGTCACATCTGGGAATGAATGTCTAGTTCTTTGGCTCCAGAGACTTGTTGAGATTTATTCTGATTAAGAACATTTCCTTTGCYAAGACTGTTGGATACATTCCTATTAAATAGTCTGTGGAGAATCTCAGAAGATGAAAAWCTACTTTGTTGTAGTGATAGTCATTTATTACATTTCTGGATAAATAAAGAAAATAGGAAAAAGATATTCAAATATCCATATATAAAATGCCTGTTATAGTTACTGATCTCATGAACATTAGAAAATAACTTCAATACCTTCATAATTTGAGGAATAATTACTTAAAACTCTTTGTGGCTGAATTTCTTCAACCAAAATTAAGGATAAAAGACTACTTACTTTTAAAGGTGATTATAATTTTTAAAAGAATTAATATATTCAAAGTGTATATAACAGTGTTTGTAAATAATATTTATTATCTAAAATTATTATCATAATATAACAAAAGATAARATAATTATACGTGTATGATAATATACCAATAATACAATGATTTAACAGGTAATTAGTACCATGAAATAAAGGAAAAATTATATCAAATCATGCAACCAATGCTATATATAGCCATGTAACCATAACCACTACAAGATTTTTCAAAAGTAAACAAAATAACCCAAAGTGATCTTTCCTGCTTTGTGACATATAAATTGTAGAAATATATTTTTTATAACTGTTAAATTATTTTTTGTAGTTGTAGATATATAGCATGCCTTTATTTTATTTGTCTCAWTTTTATGTGGTGCTAAGGGTCGAACACAAGTTCTCACTCATGCCAGGCAAGAGCTTTGATACTGAGCTTCAGCCTCAGCCCAGAAATGTACTTTAATTTGCAAACCACGCTTTGTTCAGAAAATACATTTATCTTGTTAAAGAAAGTATTAATAAAGAAAATATTAGAACACTTTTATGGCATCATCAGACCTAAGAATAGGCATTTTTGCTGAGGCTGGCTTTGAACTCATGATTCTCCTGTCTCAGCCTCCCAAGCTACTGGGATCACAGGCGTGCACCACCGCACCCGGCCTCTCCTAGGAGTAATGTTAGACTCACGGTTTAAAATCTTTCTTGAATCAAGAAAACATCCAGCCCCTGATAACTGAGTCACAATTAAACCTTAAGAACTCAAGGCATCCAGGCTGGGTAAGTGGAAGCCACTGTAAAGACAAGACCATAATCCTTGCCAAGACCAAGTTTTAGCATATGTAGCTGCAAAACCTGAGCTGTATTAATGTTATGTCAAGAGTCTGTGGCATTTCTTCAGTGTCACTTTTCAGCATACTTAACATTTAACAGCAGGATCGCTAACCATCGAGGATGTGAATAATCCTTGCCTACTAACCCTGAAACACACTCACTATGTGTGACCTACATCCTCCTGCTAGTAGTGTCAGAAAAGAATGACGCCACCAAAGCAGATCAGCTGCTCTATGTTGAGCCACAGAGGAAACCACTCAAGTATGACAGGAAGAAGAGATGCTTTAAGGACGAAGTAAAGTAATGCATCTGACAACAGGGCATAGCTTAGAAACCATGAGAGTGGTGAACTAAATGGGCAAGAGCTAAAGATGACTCACTCGAGTRAAAACAGTGAGCAGAAAAAAAAAAGTCAGGTTTTGTGATCAGTTTAAACATCTGCTTGTAACTGATTTTGGTTTTAGCATCCTTTTTTTCATAACAAAAATTAAATTATGTGTAAAAATGTGATATGTTTTGTATAGCATTGAGTGGGTATTGGGAGCATGCAAAATACTCTGCTGAATTCACTAAAATTAAAAATCCTCAATAATTGCAGGGTTTGAAAATAAGATTAACTATATACTAGCTTAGAAAACAATGCAATGGAGTTGTGTGGGTAGAAGAATTTTGACATTTGGATAAGTAAATCACTACATTGAACTAATGGCCTCTCTTGTAAGCCATCAAAATTMATGCATTTAAAAGCAAAATGCCATTACTTTGAAACCCATAGCAAAACTGTCAGCATACTTCCTCTTAAAAAGACTTTTTCTGCATTTAGATACACCATGAATTCTGTTACTTTTCTTTAACTAGGTTATTAGAAAAACTATATTCTAAATACATTATAAATCATTATTGTGAAGTTTATTAGCTAGTCCATACTGCCTAAGTAGTAATTTTCATTAAAAAAAAAGACAAGCTGAAAACAAAATGACTTTCACCTGGGAATTAGTTGACTTGAAATGATGTCAGATAAATCCATGTTAAAATTCTGATTCCCACAGCTACTTATGGTAGGACATATAGCAAATTTCTGATTTTTTCCAAGCCTTTAGCTTCATCATCTGAAAGTTTAGTTAATAGTGTTAACTAAATTTTTAAAAATATATTCATGTAAATTGTTAGTTTTAATGCTTGATACACAATAGAATAACAACAGAAATTGCCAGGTTTTATGTTTGCTTTTTAATATTTAAAATATTGAATACCGAAAATCAGCCTTTCTACAAATACATGCCTTCTGATTAGTCCTCAGTGAGACCAAAGATAAGAGATTTAAAAGTGAAAGATCTCATTTACAAAAGATGAAAAATGAAACAGCACTGAGAAGTCAGGTATTAAAGAGTTCATTAGAAGTATTTCTTTTAAAAATTTTACCTAATATGTATTTCAGGGAAGATGAGCATGAAAGATTAAAATACATCCTCCTCTGCATATGCACTGCCAGCTACCAGCTACAAAAAGCCTTTTTTACAGAGTTTGTTGAAGATCTTTCATGGTATTTTTTTATTTCCTTGACTTGGCCAGAAAATTGCAGCTTTTCATTGCGTACACCTGCATGTAGGGCTCCCTGAAAAGTAAATTACTATGAACAGTGAAATTTGTATGACTTAAATAAGTGTTGAGACATGGGGAATGAAAAGGGACACATATCAGAGATGTTCATTTAGTTAATAAAACTAGGCATTTGATTTGAATAGCTTTATATCTACAGAGTGATTGTCTCTCACTTTCTTTTTTATGATGCTTTAAAACTACATAATTTTCGCAGATTGAATAGCAAATTTCAATAACATCATTTCTTTACAACAAAGTGTGCATCTTTAAATCTTAAGCATAGGAAAAAGCTATAAAAGGAAAAAAAAAGTTCTGATAGTGTTAAGAAATCGTGTATTTTCTGTTTACAAAAGCTTCCATATCTTTTTTTTTTTCAGTCTTAGAAGACTGCCTGTGATTATAAAGCATGATCCAGTAATACTTTTGTAAATGAATCACTACTGCATTCATACCATTAGCCTCTGAACAGATGTCAGAAAGTAAAGATTGGCTGCCTCTAGATCAAGTTGCTGCTGCCAATTCTCGCGAGCTTTGTCAGTAACAGTTGATTGTAATGTCAGTGCAGTCCAATTTACAGGCTGGAGCAGCAGCTGCATCCTGCATTTCCCTGAAGTATTGCATGATTTCTACTCCTTGCAAACTTTATCATCTTTATTTTTGCAGAAAGTCGGGTAAGTTGATCTGAATTTACACTTTTTTTGCAGAGATGTAAGTTACTGTGAGGCTCATTCTGTGGGAGGAGTGTGGTTTCTTCACATGTTTGTTTGCCCTTTGGTGCTCTGTGGGGAATAGTCACTGAAGCTTGCAAATGGGACAGATGAAGCAAGTGAGCCGGCACATGCATCAGATCTTTCTATTTTCCTGGGAATGCAGATCTAGTCCCCATAACTGTTGAGGGAATAGGATTTTATTCTCCACATAAAGGGCCATATCACTTGTGGAATCAAATATCACTGTGATATTTGTTCTTTCTGAGCTCCTTAAGGAAATATATTTTACACTACTTTATTCTTATATGCACTGATTAATGACTCTTGCCTTGAAAGAGTAATAAAAGTGATCTTTGACCAGGTTTGATCTATTTTCTCCCCTTTTTGAAGTGGCATAACATTAATAGTTCTCTTACTGATTACTTTGCAAAGTAATTTCTCAATCAATATTTTGTACTCTGAAACTTTCACATTATCAACAGACAGAAGCTCAACTTTTCTTTTATGTAAAACAAAAATCTGTTTCCTAAGTTGATTTACAAATGTTTTCCCTTTGCCTGGTTAGACTTCTTTATTTTTTTTTACAGGCATTTTTAAATAGTAGCAAAATATCTTATATTTACTGTTATTTTATTATTTAGAAATATTAAGCAAATAAAGACTTTCTGCTGATGTTTTAATCTTCTAAACTTAATGTTACTTTTTTGACATCAGTAACCATCAATAATCACCAGGGCATTAAGCTTTAAAAGTATAAAATGTGTTAAATTGAAAAAAGACTGAAATGTGAACACAATTGTTACATTTTTTTTAAATTTCTGTTTCTTATATACATTTTTATTTTTGGAGTAGGTCTTCTACCTTTTTATTAATATATGTCAGTTAAGAATGTTATGTGTAATGTATCCCTAATATAAACTATTACTAGTGATAAATGAAACTTTCTCATTTATAAATTCTTTACTTGAGGATAAGATTGAGCATTTGAAGTGTGGCATATTGCTTAGAAGGGTATTCCTTAGAGTTCTCTGTAGGTGTAAAATAACGTGGTCTTTGGATAAAAAAAAATAATTTCTAACTGGATTTTCAAAGTCATATTTTATTTTCCTAGCTGTGTTATTTTTGTTTATTTGCAATGTCCCACTTTTTTAGTTGCAAAAAGCATCCAAGACCTATTCCATATTATATTTTATAAAGTATAAGCAAGTATTAGTTTAACAAGTCATATCTTCTGTACAAATGTAGTACCTTCTTTGATTTATTTATAGGCAATAATAATACATATTTAAATTATACAGCATGTTTGTTTTGATGCTTTTGTTAAAATTTGCTCACTCTTACRAAAACTGGACTGTCAAAGAGAAATAGAATAGATGACAACCTCAGAGAAAATTCAATTTCTGGAGAAGACCTAGAGATCTAAATATTAAGGGTTCAAATTATTTCTACAGTGAAAGTGTGTGAGCACTTTTCTTGATTGAGGACAGACACAGATCTTGTGCTTCTCATACCTAAAATATTGTCTTCTCTCTGTATACAGCCTTTCAGTGCCTACCAGATAACTGAGAGAGCCCTGAGAGACAGTGGCATAGTGAAAAATAGTCTTTCTCAATTTCCCACTTTTTTTAACATGATATGAAACAAGGTTTGGGGATTTGGTATAAGAACTTAATTGTTTTAAAATGACCAAATCATTTTAGTGTTTCGTGTTCTAGATCATATCAATATTATCTAGATTGCTATTACTTCAACATTTTAATAGGACTTGTTTTCAAATAARAAGATACATTTTATTGTGATTTTTTAAACATTGGAAAACTAATAATCAGAGAAGACTATTAGGAATATTTTTGACATTTCTTTATGTAGGCACTGGCTGGCCCATTATTTTAAATACTTAGTTGATATCTAATTATGCCAAATAAGTGGTAAATATATAATTCTTTATTTAAGTCAGTTAATCACATCCAGTATAGTATAACACAGCATATTTACTCTTATAACTGACTGGAGAATTTTGACAATTTTTAAATTAAAATGCAAAAAGAAGAAAGTTATTGAGTTTCATTTTTTAAGTTATATTTTTGAAAGTTCAGAATTTCAAAAAAAATCACCACTTTAATTTGTATGTCCTGGAGCATTTGATAAAATTGGAGTTTATTAATTTACTTTTGCCTCATCTTTCTTTCAAATATTATCTACTACTTCAATAGRTTAATTGATCTAAATTCCTTTTATTGTTATACTTGTGCAAATTTGCCCCATTTTTTATGATAAACTTGGTATGAATATATGTATTCAGTGGCAGTTGCCAATTATAACAGAATTTATGAAAAAATAAACAACGAATTTTTATTGAATATTTTAATCATTTTTAACAATTTAGACATGTAGACTGGTAACATTTTGTTAGTCTTCTTTTATTTATTTCTATTTTAAAAACATAAATTGGAASACTGTATAACCAATGTGTTAAAATACAGAATATCAGATTATAACAACAAAATGATGTTTATTTAAACAAAACAATGAAGGTGAATATAAAATTCTCAAACTACACAAWGTATGTGAACATTTGCAAATTTTCTTATGAAGATATAGATTTACTTTTATGGTATATAACAATCTTCAACAAGTAGCATTTGGGTCAAAACTACATAGTTATCTTTGCAGTAATTGTATGCTTAAAACACTTGTTTTTAATGATAAAAATAAGATTATTTATGAGGTAAAATCTCATAATTATTGAAAAAATTCTCTAATTTATATGAATAGTATTGCATAAAATTGAGATATACTTGAAATGTAGATAAAAATATTTATGTAAATTAATGTAAGTGACATGAAAATGATATTGCAACCTTTTTGATGAAATAACACCTATTGTAAATGTAATAAAGTTACCATATTTATTAATTATATATGAAATAATGCACTTGTTAGTAATCGTACCTGCATTGCAATAAAATTAGTAAAATGTTTGTAGAAAAAAAAGTTTTTAAACAATCAGAGGCCAAAAAAGAGCTAACATTTTGTTTGATTCTTAAAGATAAACCAATATTTAAGTAAGATCAAGGAAACAATAGAGAATCTTTTCATTGGTCAGGGGGACACTGACTCAGCAAGCCAAGAAGGACAAGTGATAATCAAGAACCTGTAATTAATTTGTTGAAAGGGTGTAAAGACTAAACCTGCTTTGTATCTTATTCCTTTTGCCTTGACAATGTAGGTTTTTAAAGAGGGAACCATCCTGCACAGTACTTAATCTCATCCATTTATTTATGTAATAGGACTTACTAATTATTAGGAAAAAAGAATAAAAAGGACTATAATAGCAGTGCCTCTAAAACTCCTGTTAAAAGTCTGTAACTCCCATAGTAAATGTTAGGCTACCAGAAACTGTACATTATTATTACATATTACTTGCCTATTGTTATTATAATGCAACAAGTTACATTTACTATAATAATAATAAGTTTTAAATATCATGAGCACAGAAAATGTTAAAATATTTCTGCTTCATTAATATATTTATTGATGTTAGTACACATTCAATAGTATTAAAGCAAAGGATATAAATATAATCTGTGATGATTTAAAGACAGAACTTATTATAACTTATTTTATATATAGATATTTTTGTACTTACATATAAATATTGATAGTATTATATTTTGATGTGGATAAGGTCATAACTAGTAAGCTCTAAACTAAGTGATATAAACCATGGTTTAATTTATTCAGATATATGTATGAATCAAAAGTTGTTTTTTTTTTTTTTTCTTAGCTATCCTATGAACAGTGGTGAAATAAGCTGATTTTAAACATGAGTATTCAAGGTCTGGAAGAATTGAGAGTTATTCTACATACCAGGAGAGCTCTTTATTCTTTGCCTTSTAAAACAATCTAAATTAACAAAAAAAGTAAAAACTAATACAGATGTTCAAGGCTGACAGGATTAGTTTCTTGGTCATGCAAGTTGGATTTATAATTACAGCATCAGAAAAAAATAAACATTTTATATATATATATAAAATATATTTTATATATTTATATAGATGAAAACCACTACTTATAAATGAATATTCTAATTGTATTTCTTGTAGTTATATAAAGATGTTAGTTCTTTTAAAAAATATTTGAGTTACATTTTTCAATCCCTCTTTAGAACATAGTCTTTGATGTGTTTTTAATATTTTTATGTAAAAGAAACTTAGATATCCATTAAAAATTTTTGATAAAACTTAGATCTATCCAAATGACATCTTTATATCATCAAAAATAGTATTTAACAAAATTTTAAATATTTATTATTTTGTAGTTTGCAAAAATTATTTTGCTTTTTTCAATTATCCCCTCAGCTATAGTCCTCTCATTTCAGTCATTTTGTCCACCATCAAAACAGAAATAACTCTTACTGTGCTAACACATTTAACCAGTTACATATTCTTCAAGAAATTAACAATTTAGTAGATGTGCATTGTGTACAATTACTTCTAAGCCAGTATCTTCTTCCATACAATTATAATATCAGTCATTGTTCTCACCACCAGATTTGTAATTCAGACAGAAGCTCCTCATCCTTATTAAATTTCAGAAAAATTTCCCTTGGATGCATCCCTGGCCCTCCTCATTTTTTTTTGCTTTAATAATGGAGCAGATTTGTTATTTTTTATGATTTATAAAATAAGCTGCAACTGTTATATTTTTGTTACTTAACATTCTATGAATACGTTGTCTAAGTCATTTCTTGACAATAGACTAAGATTGTATAGAAAGAGAAATCAGTAAGTGAAAGGACCATAAAAGGGACCATGTTGCAAAAAAGGGYAATAGTAGAAGTCTATGGATCCTAAAAAGTTCTTAATGTACTTCACAGTTTTGTCATGAGCCAACAAGCCAATATTTCAAAAAATACATGAGCTTGTATTTTGTCCTCTAAGGCAGAAATTATACCTGACATACCCCTTAATGCCATATTTAATGTGGCTGTACATAGTGCAGAATTGATATTATATATGCTTGGGACAAACTTMCTCTTTAAAATATAAAATCTTTACAGATCATGAATATTTCAAAAGCAAAGTTACTTCTACTTTCCATTCTACTTATTTTTCTTCTAAATTGAAAACTAAAATAGCCTCATTTTCTTGTCCCCCCCCCCGAAATTTATGCCTTTGTAGTGATAGCAGACTTTGTAGTGTTCATATTTTTTAGGATAAAAAGAAGCAATATGTTTTAGTAAATTATCATCAATAAAGCATAACACTTTATACATAGACTAATCAAAATCTCTGCTTACCTCTCTTTCAGAAATCAACATGCAGAGCAAGCACTCATTCATAGGTATTCAGTTTCTCTTGTGGTTTCTTCTGCTCTGCATGCTTATTAGGAAGTCACACACTGAAGAAGATATGATAATTACAACCAAGACCGGGAAAGTGAGAGGGATGAGCTTATCAGTACTTGGTGGCACTGTCACTGCCTTTCTTGGAATCCCTTATGCACAGCCACCCCTTGGTACACTTCGATTCAAAAAGCCACAACCCCTGAATAAGTGGTCTGACATTTGGAATGCCACAAAATATGCAAATTCTTGCTATCAGAACATTGATGAAAGCTTCCCAGGCTTTCTGGGATCAGAGATGTGGAATCCAAACACGGACCTCAGTGAAGACTGCTTATATCTGAATGTGTGGGTTCCGGCACCTAAACCAAAGAATGCTACTGTAATGATATGGATCTAYGGTGGTGGCTTTCAGACTGGGACATCCTCTTTACATGTCTATGATGGCAAGTTCCTGGCTCGGGTTGAAAGAGTTATTGTAGYTTCAATGAACTATAGGGTGGGTGCCCTAGGATTCTTAGCTTTACCAGGAAACCAAGAGGCTCCAGGGAACATGGGCTTATTTGATCAACAACTGGCTCTTCAGTGGGTCCATAAAAATATAGCAGCCTTTGGCGGAAATCCTAAAAGTGTTACTCTCTTTGGAGAAAGTGCAGGAGCAGCTTCAGTGAGCCTTCATTTGCTTTCTCCTAGAAGCCACCCTTTGTTCACCAGAGCCATTCTTCAAAGTGGATCCTCCAATGCCCCTTGGGCAGTAATTTCTCCTTATGAAGCCAGGAATAGAACCTTGACCTTAGCTAAATTCATTGGTTGCTCCAGTGAGAATGAGACGGAGATAATAAAATGCTTTCAAAATAAAGATCCCCAGGAAATTCTTCTGAATGAAGTGTTTGTTCTCCCTTATGACACTCCTTTGTCAATAAAATTTGGTCCCACTGTGGATGGTGATTTCCTCRCTGACATGCCAGACACACTACTCCAACTTGGACAATTCAAAAAGACTCAGATATTGGTGGGTGTTAATAAAGATGAAGGGACAGCTTTTCTAGTATATGGTGTTCCTGGTTTCAGCAAAGATAACAATAGTGTCATAACAAGGAGGGAATTTCAAGAAGGTCTAAAAATGTTTTTTGAAGGAGTGAGTGAATTTGGGAAGGAATCAATTCTTTTCCATTATGCTGATTGGTTAGATGATCAGAGACCTGAAAACTACCGTGAGGCCTTGGATGATGTTGTTGGYGATTATAATATCATATGTCCTGCTTTGGAGTTTACCAAGAAGTTCTCAGATTTGGGAAACAATGCCTTTTTCTACTATTTTGAACACCGATCTTCCAAACTTCCTTGGCCAGAATGGATGGGAGTGATGCATGGCTATGAAATTGAATTTGTCTTTGGTTTACCTCTGGAAAGAAGAGTTAACTACACAAGAGCCGAGGAAATTTTGAGTAGATTCATAATGAAATGTTGGGCAAATTTTGCAAAGTATGGGTAAGTGATGATTTTTGTTGCTCTCTGCTTTAGTTGGTTTTGTTTTGCTTGATCTCTTGATCTTTTGTGTAGACTTTCTTAAAGGCATAGAAAAGTTTGGATGATTTATTCTCTTTGTATCAAAGATAATAAATATTTTTATTATGTAGTAAATTTCAATTCTTTATATCAGAGGTGCTTTGCAGAAATCATCATAGAATTTTCATGAAAGTATTTCTTGATTTCATTTCCAAACTATTGCAGARTACTTTAACAATGCTAGTCAAAATTTGTGTGGAAATAGCTGCTTGCCTGAACAATTGAAATTTTTGTTACAGTGCTTTCTAAGCCTCCAGTTTATGATATTCACAGATTTAGGCAAGAGTAGAAAAATATATCTTTTTTATGTTTCTAAGCCTTGTAGAGTGATTTCTGCTACATGAAGTGATAATCTTTGCTCAGGAAAATGAAGGGACAAGGTGGTGATGGAATTTGCACTCAGATTATCCGAAATACACAGTATTGTTCATTCTATGAATTCATTTTCCCTAACAGATTTGTTAGAGCTCTCAGAGAGTCTGTGTTTGACAGGACCTATGAGAATCTTCATGTTTAGCTAAGCTGTTCTCCAAAGAGGTCTTATGGTTGATGTTAGATAATCAGAGACTTTGCCCTAGAAGATRTTTTTCTTATGTATTATAAATATTGCAATATATGTCTTCAAGAGTCAGAAGAAAATACATGTACTTAGTGAATTATAGATGGTTCCAATTATGCTTTGTCTATTTATTTTAAACTTACAGTAATGCAAATGTGATACCATTCAATAGAAACRGTACTTTGAATTTTGAATTTTGATGTCTTCTTGGGCCAGCAGTATTAGGCACGATACTCTTCAGGATGCTGGACAGCGGCAGCAAGTCTCAGCTCCCAGGCAGAAAAAAAAGAAAGCCAGAGTAAACAGGGGATAAACTATAGGCTACTGTGTTGCTAAACCATAGCTTGCTCAGTAGCTTAGGTGTATTCAATGTGTTCTTTGATTTATGATATTTTCAATTTACAATGGCTTTATCAGGATATAACCCCATCATAAATCAAGGTGCTTAGAGGACATAACCCACTCATAAATCAAGGAACAACTGTAATCGGTAGGAAAAATATTTTTGAATGGGGGTGTATTCATGTAAAAATAGAATCTTTTCTTTTTCACTACATGTATATTCTCAAAAGAATTTTATACATTAAAGTAGTTTATATCATTGTGAATAATAAAAAATAGAAATTTACAGAACCTGCTTTAAAGGGAGTGTATGTCCATGTATCAATCATAAAAGTTGATTGCTTCTTTAATTAATCTGTGACAATTTCTTTAATAATTAAACATAATGTTGATAATGATATAATTGCTTTCTGGTGTTCTTAATTTACCTTCCATTTGGAATTCTTCATTTCCATGTTATTATATGGATCATTCTGCACTATCAGTTACATCATATTATTCTCAAAACTGCATGTTATGTATTCACTGTGTGTAAAGTTATAAATTTTCCATGTAGTTTTTAAGGGCTTCTATAATCTCTCTGCAACACACATTATCTAACAACATCTGGATATGTGGTAGACCAGTTTTCTCAGAAATGCAGACTCCAAGCAGAACTGTACCCTGCAGCTGTGCTCTTGCTCTGTGTCTCCATTAAAACACCTACACTTTTCACTTTCAATSACTGAATCCTCCACTTTGTAAGATGCTGATCAACTAYACATGTCATCCAGTGTTTCTTTACTACCTAGAAAAATTTCTTTTAACATCTTTTTTTATTGAGATTAATTATAAATTGTCCATATCCTTGCCTTCAATATAAGCCAATTCTTCTMAACTATATTAAATTACAACTTCTTGAAATAGAAAGTATGATTTTGATGAAGACTCATTAAAGAACTGAGATGGGTATATCATATTTAAAGATTTGGTTAATGATTGAATGAGAGTGAAAACTTGTTTAATTTTTTTAAAAATTCTTTCAAGATATGTGGGTTAYTATATTTTCTGTAACTRTGAAATATTTTATGTCTTCTCAACATTCGTCTGAATGTCTACTCAAGACAAGAATCATCATATTATTTTTGAGATACATTAGAATTACTTATGTCTCATTCTGTTCTCTGCCTAAAACCTACATCCACATGGGATCATTTCAATGTTTTGAATTTTTCTTACAATAGAATTTGCAAATTATTTAAATAAAAGTATTTTTTGAACATGCATGTTCATAATTTGTAAAGGATTTAATATTTGTTGAAATTATGAAGGAATCTATATTTTGTCATAGTGGAGAACAGTAAGAATTAGATATGTTAAACACATTTTTATATAAACATAACAGCAAATGAATAAGAGAATCTTTGGCATAATAGAAACAAAATTTAACCCTCCTGAAAGGCAGGTATGATTAATATTTTAATTGGAAATAAAAGGTTTAATTTTTAATTATAATGATAAATTCATAAAACAGGTATTATAAAATACTGAAGTTTAAAGTCAACATAGTATATTATTATAACCATAACAAGATGTTACTTTATAAAAGGAAGTTCCTTTCTGGTTTATATTTGCATGATGGAACAGAGAAAATGATAATTTGTCATATATGTTGAGAGTTGACTTTATGGCAAGAAAAATGATAATAATAAATGGACTTCAGTGGAAATAAAGTTTGTAAATGTTAAGTTTGGAAATCTGACCACAGTCATGATGTTCCAACTCTTTAGCTCTCAAGAGGGGAAATTATCATCTATCCATCTCATGCCTGGATCTCATTTTGAATGTTGCACTTTGGGATGAGGTAGTACTAGCAAGGTGTAATCTTGTATCTGACATCTTTTGTTGGCATAATATATTTTCAACTCATCTCTGTCCTATAAATCAGAAGTTTATTTCTTACTCTCATAGTGATTGCTATTCCCCATGGAAGATTATGCCATAGTATGGTCATTCATCTGCTATTTGTTTTCTGCTTGGGAGTATTATGAATAAAGTGTCAATAAATATTTTGCATAAGATGTTTGTAGATATTGTAGATATTCTTTTCTCTTTTTGAGTGGTGAAGACCTAGGAAAGATATTTCTGGGAAGTCAGTAAGTACATACTTATCTATTCTAGAAATTGTCTTTATTTAGTTTTCTTTAGTGGAGAATATCATATTTCCAGAAAAAAAAATGTGCCAGAGCTCCAATAGGTTCACAACCTTAGCAACATTTGCAATTATCAGTCTTTCCTGTTAGCTCTTCTGCTTGCTTTGTACTGTGATACCACAGTGGTTTTACTATTTACTGATAACTAATAAAATAGAACCCAATTTCACATGTTTACTGGTCACTTGTATTTTATATATATATATATATATATATATATATATATATATCAGTGTATTTCCTATTTTTAATTAGGTTTTACTTATCAGTGAATTGTAAGGGTCTTATATAATTAGTATAAAAATTCTATTGATTTTGAACACTTTCTCCTAGTCGGCATCATGACTATGAATTTTTAAATGACTTTCTTAATAATATATAGAGCAGAATTTTTAATTTAATTATTTTTCATAGAAATACTTACATATTTCATTATTATTTATTGGAAAAGATACTTCTTTAGCTATGTAATTATGTTGTAAATTTTTTTCAAAATCAGTTGACCATATGTGTGTGGATATAACTGAGGACAATTTGTTTGTTCTACTAGGTAACCAATATCTATTTTTATGCCAGTATGTCTTCAGTAATATGGCTACATAGTATGGTTTTATATTGAATCATTTAAAAACATACAATTTAATTTAAAAATAAAATTTTAACTTGAAAAGCATGTCAGTCCTAGGTTTGAATTTCTTAATTAACTTCACATTCTTATTAAAAATTTAGTTAGAATGTTACAGTTATTGATAAAATTGAAGAGAATGTTGATCTTAATATTATGGCTTTCCAAATCCATGAATATGATGTTTGTAATGTTATTTTGTTTTTTTGCTTCAAAATAGAATTTAAAAGATTTCTGTATAAAGGTCTTGTATATGTTTCAATTTATCAACAAAGATTACACATATTTTTAAATTTTATTTTTCAATTTAGGTTTTGCTGATACATGGAAATTATAATTAATTTTTATATTGACATTACAGAATGAACCTCACAATGTCAATACTAATTTTAGTTGTTTTTGCTGCTGCTGCTGTTGTGGTTATTATTGTTATTATTTTGGAAATGGGATTGAACTGTGGACCTACACTTAACATAAGTGACAACTGAGCTCTGCCTCCAGATCTTTTCAATTTATTTTGAGACAGGATCTCAYTGAGGGATATCAGCTATCCTAGAACTTGTGATTCTGCTTCTTTAGCCCTCTAGTTTATATTTGCATAATTGAATAGAGAAAATGATAATTTGTATTATGTGTTGAGAGTTGGCTTTATGGAAAGCAAAATGATAATAATAATAAGTGAACTTTAGTGGAAATAAAGTTAACTTAGATTATAGGCATATGCCTCCAAGTCTAGAAATTTCAGTCATTTTATAGAGTTATTAAGGATCACTTCATTGGTGATAAAAAACCATTTTTTAAAAAATTTTGGTAGACGGCTTGCCTTTTTCCTATCAATATTTGTGTTTTTATTTTCCTTGTTGCTGATTTGTTATTTCATTATGATTTTAAAGCATTAGTAATAATAGAGGTGCAGTATATAATATTTCTTTAAATCTTAGAAGATGTGTTTATTGTTTCCCTACAGTAGTACAACTTTATACAGTTTTACTTTCCAAGGTTTCATTTATCTGCAATAACCCATATAATTAAAATATTATTAGAAAGTTCAGAAATAGCAACTCCTAAGCTTTAAATTATCCTTCTGACTAACATGATGAAATCTCACTCTGTTCTGACATGCCCAACCTGGAACATGAATCATTCCTTTGTAACCACATGGTATGTTTTCCATCCTGTAGCAGTTGAGAAAATGGGAGACCAC